TGTCTGAGAACAGCACTGATTCGAGAAATGGTTAGCTTTTATTTGTCCTTTCGGGTGAATACGTTTTATCTTAATTCTATGTAGTTTATTAAAAATTAATATAATATATACAATGTGATGGTAAGGCCGTTATTATACTAATCGTGACCGAGTTCAGCCTTGAAGGTTTCAATTTTTTTACTTTATTGGGAATAATTTTAGATAGAAGTTAAACTTGTGTTTTAAGGGTAAAAAGACCAGAAATATCCCCTACAAGTAAGACGGTGTTTAGAATAAAAGATGGGTTACATAATAACTCTGTGTTTGTCATTTCAGTTAATTTTAGACAACAGAAAACAGCATGGCTGTAACAGCTTTTGCGTGCCATCTATTTAGAAAGATATTCATATGTTATCACCTCCACAAAACCTTCGTAGCGCCGAGTTTGCTGTAATCATCTCTCAGATTTCACTGAATTTCTCAATTGACTGGATAACGTGAACACAAATGATCTGAGCAAAGTCGTATCTCGAAAAGGGGGCAAACTTTGTGGTGGGGTGTTCACTTTTTGAGTTGAATGAAACACGAGTAGAAATGAAAGCGACCGAGACGGAGAAATTGCTTTCTAATAGAAGGTCTCCTCTACATGTACAGTCGTCTATGGTCGGGAAAATTGTTTATTGGAAGACCAGAACAGTCTGAAGTTAGATAAAACGTAAAGCGCGAGTCTATACAGTCCGATAATCAAACGCTTTTGGCGACATATCCATCAAATATTTTCGCTCTCACATGACTGGTCTAAACGCGTCACGTGACTGAATAAGCTCCACCTAAGACTGGAGAATATCCAGGTGATAGGAAGCAATTTTCATAGGATCTTCGGCATTGCAGAAACTATTTGAAGCATAATAAACACAATAGCCTCCGTTTGACTTTAAGATTATACTTTGGTATTTGTCCCTGGGCATTATCTTATCCTCAAAGCTCACATTTTCCCTTGAGCTTCGCTCTCAGAAAGCTGCTCGCTTCTCGGGACAGATAATATCCGCGGGCAAATATCCGCGGGCAAATATCCGAGCATATATTCGTGTCAAATGGAGGCTATTGAAATGAGCTTAACCTGTGGTTCATTATGCGTACGCACTGATTCGCTGGAATGATTCACTGGAATGCCAGAAATGCTAACGTTTCGGGTTCGCCAAACAACGAAAAGATATAAGAATATTCTGCCTCAGTCTAAAAATTAGACGTTCTTACAAAACGAGTGAAAGCTAGAGAGGTTTACTCGTAATTTTGAGCGCCGCATAAACTCGTTATTAGAGATTTTGACTGGGTAAAACTTAAGACATCAATTAAAGTAATTGGTCATGTCACATATCAAGGATATAATGATGGGTTGCCAACTGGAGGTACAGAAGCAAGGAAACAAGGGGAACAAAACAGTGGACAAAGCAGAGACTGTGACTGACGGCTTGTCAATCAACTAGGAACGAAGAACGGCACACCACTACCACGCAATTGTACAATGACTCGTGCATTATGTACTGTAGGAAGCAAAACTGTTTCCTACACGAAGAATACTCTCCCAAATTAGGCCTCGGTTAATGTGAAATCTTAGATCATTTTGGATTGGGTCTTACCCTGAAATTAAACACCGGCTTAATCATTTTGAAGACTAACGTATCTATAAGGATTAACGGCTCTTTTGAAAAGATTATTTTCCGAGTTTCTTTTGTCATTTTTTCCCGGGACAAAGGAGTCCCTTGATACCGCCTTTGTGTTTGTCATTTTAAAACCCTTTTTCAATCTCTAAACATTTCAATGGTGCTTTTCATTAAGGACCTATGAGCTGTTCAAATATGAAAGATATGCTTTAATATTAGTCTTCATTTCTGGAAAAAAATACAATCTGCAATCTTTTAGTTCAGCCGGTTTCGTGAATGATTTTCCTTTAAGATTTATTTAACTATTCCTTAGTTCGCATGATTTAAATAGCTTGTTGGTAATATCATTTAAAGGACATAAACATTTAAAAGGAATAAAGCCTTAACG